TCCCGCTGCCCGTCTGTCGTCTTTATTTACATCGTGTGTGTGTGTGTGTGTGTGTGTGTGTGAGAGGCGAGGCGTCCACCCTGAGGACAGGATCAGCCAGACCGACTCTGAGGTCACTTAGAAACTCCTCCGGACTGAACTTTTCCTTTGCTCCCCTGTTGGACTCGGCTGTAATGACATTACGCTCTCTGAAATGCGTCATCTGATTAGCTGTCCTGGAAACGTCTCCCTTCAGCAGCGGATCCATTAATCCTCCAGTGGGATTTCCTGTCCGTCAGATTTACTCATTGTCGCTTTCTTTAATGGTCCGTTTCAATTTCCAGAAATGTGTGAAAACAATGGAAGACATGAAACGCTCGGCTCAGCCGGGGTGACGAATAAGATCCACCGATGCAGCTAAAAGTGAAGTGAAAGCAGGCTGCCTGTCACATGCATCCGCCCCGAGCCCCCAGTGACGCAGAACCTCTAAATCTCCATCTGTGTGGAGAAACTATAACCAAGTCCCGCTGCATCTTCTGCTTCTAGCTGCATCCTCCTCTGTCTACTTCTCTCATCGTTTCAGCAGAAGTAGTTTCACCAGCTCTCAATGTCGACACTCTCATTTTTTTAGTTTCTTTAGATTATCTGCAAAAAGTCTTGTAAACTTGATGACAATCTCCGAGGAAAACTGTATTGTGAGTAGAGTTGATTCATCGTGGTCCCAGTGCCTGAAATATGGGAGGTGGCTGCGGTGAGCGTGTCGGAGGAGAGTGGGCACTAGAGGCCGGACAAAGACTCCGAGGGAGAGCATTTGTAATTTGGGGATGATGAGTGGAAGAGGCAAAAGGGAGGGACGAGAAAGCCAAGACAAGGTGGGGAAATTAGGGATTTAGAGGAGGAGGAGGACCAACATCAACAGGCAGCGAGAGAACGCCTCGTGTCTCGAGCTCAGCGGGGTTTTGTAACCTTTCCTCCCGCCTGCTGCTGGCGGCGGACAGCACAGAGTAACTGCAACAACACCACAGAGGAAGACTCTCCGCTGCCTTCGGCCAGCCGCAATTCTATTGAGTGATTCAAATGTTTTTTGACCACGCACGCAAGCCTACTGGTGCTGTGACTAACGATTATATTGATAATCAATTAATCCAAAAAAATATGATTAAATCGGATTAAAAAAACACATTAATAAAAGTATCAATCTCAAACCCTTTATTCTAAAACTTCAGAAAAGCAACTGGTTGCTGTTTCTGGAGTCGCATCCTTTGCTGAGGTCCAAGGTTCACTTAAGTACAACTACTTTTATGAAGAACAATTGAACTACGAGTAAAAGTCCTGCTGAAATCAATTCTTGTAAATACACGTGACATTATTGGGCTAATGTGCAAACTGTATTTCTTAAAGTACCCATTTCCTTTCTATTAATTTCACTCAGTTCTCTGATTTGTATTTAACTTTATTTGTATAAATGATTTATTGTTCTGATAACTGAAGTCCCTTTAAACAAAAATCTTGGTGCACTGTTAAAAGAGCCTATATATTTTGCAGTTGTAAAGCGTACATGTGTATGTTTCTTGTGTTACTCAGTCCATTATTCAAATAGTCAACAATCAAAATAATGATTCGTAGAGGCAGAAGTTGGAGTAGAAGAGAACATTCTCTGCTCAACAAAGGCTTGTGCAGGGTTCATTCTTTAGATGAAGTGAAAAGTTGTTAATGATTGAAGCTTTCTGAGTGCAGTGTGTGTGTGCACGGTGTGTGTGTGTGTGTGTGCAGATATCTCTAACCCGATGCACACAGAGTATTTGGAGTCACCAGCTGGATTATTTTATGGGGCTCCGTTGCATTATCGCCTGCTCAGCTGTCCTTAACTGGGATCGTCCCCATTGGACGAGGCGGTGCTTCCTCGCTCGCCGACACGGGCAGCGTTTGCTCAGCGGCGCCCCGCTGAGGTCATTTTTAAGAACGGGAGCGGCCGTTTTTGGCGGCCCGCCGCCCATTTGAGGCCCGCAGCGTCTCTGTGCCGTCGCTCCGGCCGGGCTGATTACAGAGGGTCGATCGTGGGCTGTTTGCCTGTCAAGTGCTTATAGTCCGTGTCCTGGAAACGACGCTGCAGAAACTGCTCTGTCACGCTGCTTGTTGTCTGTAAATATTCATCCGGTCTTCTGAAACTCTTCTGCGGCCAAACCGCAAAACCCTCGGAATTCCCCAGAAGGACTAAAACCAACCAGCGGGGGCTTCCTCGTTCTCGTCCTGTTGAGTGAGGTTGAACACACAGATCCACATAGAGACAGTGAGCTGGTGCAGCCGAGGAGCACAATTTATTTTGGACTTTTAGACTTCTCGCAGAGTGTGTTTATTCGCCCACACGCTTGCATATCTCTTCGTTGGAGCTATAAAGAAGAACAATCTTGCTCCTGGCTTTTCCGTTTCCCGTTGAGATAAAGATTAGAAGTGGTTTGCTTCTTTCTTGAAAGTGGACTCGGTTCTCTCCGACCCACCGGGAGCAAAACCACACGATGCGAGCGCCAAGGTGGGACCTTACGAAGAGCTGCAGGAGGAGAGTCCTGCTCGCCCGGCGGTGAGTGACACGTTGGACCAGCAGTCGGCACACTAGGCTCCTCCCCCTCTGAAGCGAACCGATAGCAGGATCCCCTGAAGGGTGCCAAAGCCGGTTTCAGTGACGTCACCCGGCCTGCTGTGTTAGGGCAGGCCCAACCCTCACCCCCCTCCCGCTGCAGCCTCACAGGAATTCCCCTCCTCGTCACGTCGTTCGCAGGAAACCGTTGCGGAGTCACAGCTGATTGGGCGGAAACACGGACTTGTGTCAACTTGTGTTGACACTGGAGCGAGCGGGCTGCTCCTCCTGCCTGGTGTCTTTTTGTTCTCGAACAGCAGGAGCTTCACCGAACACCAGCAGGGTAAGAGACGCACACGTTGTCCTTCGGGCTGTTGTGAAACGGTCGTTATTCTCCGTTGTAAAGGAGCTGACGTGGACGTCAGACGTGCGTGCGGCTGCACGCTGGTGTGTTTGTGGTGTTGTTCGACTTCTAGTAAAAGTCCACAGAGAGACGGCCGTCAGCCCGGGTGAGACGGGCTCTGGACCGAGTGAAGCACTCAGGCAGGAAGCGGGGCGCTTTCGGTCCACGGCAGCTTTCACTTTTGATTTGACGGGACCTGCGGGCGCCGCGCAGCTCCGTCCAGAACACACGTTGGATTGTTGGTGTAAACGTCTCGCTTCTTTGCTTGTTGTGTTCAACATCAATATAGAAGCAGTCTTATGTGATTCAATGCAAATCATCTTAAAACTCGGTTTTCTTCAAGGTAACTTCTATTTAAGGTGTTTAATGTGTTTCTTTAATCGACTTTAAACTAGAGTCCTGCTGGTTGCCTGGCAACAAGATATAACTTGGTAATTACTGTTAACTCAAAACAGACTAAATAACCACATTAAAAACATGAATAAAGTAGAACAAATGAAAAGTAGAATTGAGCGGCTTTTAGAACGGACCCAACTTACAACAATCAAGAAACAGAAGTATATTAAAACTAAGTGTGAAAAGATGGACAATCCAAGTGAAACGTGCTTCCTGTCCCACGAGGCCGGTGCACAGAGCTCGCTTACTTCACAGCCCAGGATGGGGGGGCGGGGGTGGTGGTGGTGGTGGTGGTGGGGGAGGGACTGGGTCACTGGAGACGCTGACTGGATGGAGGTTGACGTGCAACTGGTTTTACTTCCTTTTTTTTGTTGCCACCGAAAGAGAAAAAGTAATAAAGAAGCGTGTGTTGTGTGTTTGGGTGAAGGCGGTTTCAGTGTTCGACAGTAACCTGCAGATCATTTACAAACCACTGTGTTATATGTATGTTTATTCTCATCTTCTCTAATCACACTCACCAGTGGGATGTAGGCTTGTTTCTGTATTATGATCTTTACTCCATAATCTTGTGTTTTTGTATCGTTTGGGAAGTGTTATTAGGCAACTTTTTCTGACGTCACTTTGACCAAATTGGTCTTTTGAAAACTTTGTGGCTCGTTATTCTTTGTGAGGAGTATTTCCAAGTTCATCGGAAGAAGTTAATTTTTTTTTTTACTCCTCTTTTGTTTCTTTGAGTCGTCATTAAAGGCTGTAAATGCAAATATTACCTCTGTGATTTACATGAAAACAAACCAAAGCGTCGTGCTCATTAACTGATGACACACTAGAGAGATTGGCTGATGATCGCAGGTTTGTGGCGGCGAGGGAGGGAACTCCTCCTGCAGCGTCCTCGGTGCCGTTTGGCCGCAACGTGTTTGCAGTCGGGCTCCTTCTTCTCTATCTTGGTGCCTGCAGATTTTAGCTTTTCTTTTTTTTTGGGGGGGGTTTAAGTGTGTGTGGGGTATCAAAAAGATGGAAGAGGTAATATTGACATTCTGGTCCTCCCTGCTGCACCATCAGCCCCCCCCACACAGACACACTCCTCCACCCACCCGAGCCGAGCTCTCGTTATATACATTTTTCAAAGGTTGCCCACGCAGTCCCAATAATCCGTGGCCTCCCGTCCACTGTCCTGGGGGGAGGGGGGTCACATCTATATTTCATTTGTGTGCTGCACGTTTGCGGCCTCATCCCAAATTTTTTCCTCCAATAATTATTCTTTTAGAAAAGGGGGCCGGCAGCTGGAACAAAGGACGCGCTGCACGTCTTGTTTACAGGATCAGCATTCCTGCTTCTTTTTATACCCGTGAATTCTTAAGGCCGCCCGCCCGGGGCTCTCGTTAAATCCCCTACCTGCCCCGGCTTTGTCATTTTCATTCAACATCACCAGTTGAGGGAGTCCCCCCCCCCTGCTTAGTTTTAGGATTGTTTTTCTGATGAACCAAACCCTCTTCTTGTGTTCTTGCTGCTCTTTATCTTTAAGTGTCGCTTGGAACAATTCAATAACTCAAATGCGAAACCTGTGTGTGTATGTCGCTTAAATGGAGTCATGATGTTCTTTTTTTTTTTTTTTTTTTGTAGTACAGAAAATGCCCCAAAACAGTGAAATACAGCTTAACACGTTTTATTCCATTAAGACACACAAAAGGGGAATATTTAATTGTGTTATGTGTCATCATACAAGTAATAGAAAAATGAAAGAAAACCTCCCTCTGTAAATTATTAATCTTTGAAATAAAAGGTTCAAAGAGTAAATGTCCATCATTGATAATAAATGGTTCCATCCAAAAGTCACAGAAATTTACAACAACAAGAAGCAGAAATAAAAATAAAGCAGGAACCAGACTTTCCTAACCCTTTAGTCACCCTTTAGTCAGCCTACACAAGTCTTTTGTCTGTTCATTAAGAAGTGAAACCATCATTCACTCCATCATTAAGATGTGAATTCATTTTCATTCTCTTTTGTAAATACGATTCAAACTATAAAAGGTGAGCACAACAATGAATTGGTTCTGACATGTTGTCGTTTAATTCTCTGCTCCATCAAACGCTGCCCGTGTCGGCGAGCGAGGAAGCACCGCCTCGTCCAATGGGGACGATCCCAGTTAAGGACAGCTGAGCAGGCGATAATGCAACGGAGCCCCATAAAATAATCCAGCTGGTGACTCCAAATACTCTGTGTGCATCGGGTTAGAGATATCTGCACACACACACACACACACACACACACTGCAGTCAGAGCGAGACACTACTCAGAAAGCTTCAATCATTAACAACTTTTCACTTCCTCTCTCTCTCTGTCCATCTTCATGTGGCAGTTTAAAGAGCGATGCGAGTCCCTCGGTGTGGGCGGCGCTCTCACACGGGCCGGGCTCCCTCCGGGCGGCCTGTGAGCGGGCGTCTCCGTGACGACAGAGGATGTGTCAGAGACTGACCGTGACCCCTGTGGCCGCTTATTCATCGGGTCAGGTGCTGAGGGGGGCACAAACGCTGCGTCTTCCCCCGCAGGCCACAGGAAGGGGAAGAAAAACAAGCTGAGATAAGATGAACGCTGTTGCCTTGGGAGGTGGCGAGGAGCAGCGCAGAGCTCACAGGTCGCGGCCAGATGAAGCGCGCTCTGCATTCTTTGTCAGGGCGTGACGCGTGTAACCATACAGAAGAATCCCGTAGTGGCGTCATTAATAGATGGGTGTATAAAGTGAGCTCAACACACAATCCTCCGATGTTTCGTCTGTGCAGCGCGCCAGAGCCTCCGTTTGGTGTCCTGGGGGAGGAAGTGCAGCATTTACATCTTAACACGTCAGAGGTTGTAAGAACATTAATCGAGCACAAAGCTGTTTATAAAGAGATTCCTGCTCAACCAACAGCAATTCATGGTCTGACTACGTGCTCGCTTCTTTAAAACTATATATAGTTCAAAATACAGTACAATTATGATCATTTGGGCTGGAAAATAAATGAGTGTCTTCGTGTGTCTGGGCAACTGTCATTGCATCCATCAATCCGAGACATTCGGTTCAGTAACTTTGGAAGCTAGAACCACAGAACCATCTGGAATTACCTAAACAATGTGTGAAATATCCGAAGCTCCTCCATCAGCGAGTCGTCTCTGCTGCCCAGCTTCAGCGTCGGTGCATCGCCGGCTGCTGGGGTGTCGGGTTTGACGTGTGCGTGTTTGGACACGGCCGGCTTGTGGAGGTGCTCGCGTTACATAATCTACATCTCCCTCGCTCGGTGACGGGGGAGAAGGGAACACCTGCCGACTCCCATCTCGTCATCTTCAGCCTTCTGAGGCACCTCCTTCTCCTCCTCCTCTGCATACACTGCGTTTGCCGTGCGGCTCCACATCCAGCTGCCGGCACCGAGACGTCAACCTGTGTTCAAATCGGAAGTTGAACACGTCTTTTTGTCCGGAAATATTGAGTTCAGGAGGATTTGGGGCAGCGTTGACGTCAGGATCGGCGGTGGCCGCCGGCCTCCTGGCAGCGCTCCGGCGTTCTGCTGGTGTACTGGTGTGGTGCCACGCATACTGGTGACATATAGGGCGAGCTGGACACGGTGCATATGGGCCCTGTGAGGAGCTGCTGGCGATGCCCCGCCATTTGGCATGTGGAGGCCCAGCAGGGCCGGCTGTCGGGCAACATATGAATGTGTTGCAGGCTGGCAGTGATGGAGGAGGGGGGGGGGGGCAGCCCGCTGATTATTTGTCTGCAAATTTCTCGGCCAAGGCAGAAGGGGGCTATCGGGGGCGATCCGGTGCAGATGTTGCCACTTTCCTGTAATAAAATATTGTTCCTCATTAGTCTGGGGCGCACAGAACGTTGTTTTTTCTTTTGAAAGGCGAGCCGCTCATCGGCGTGCGTTCGCGGCCGCGTCTTCACTGAAAATTGTCTGTCAAACCCCTTAATGGAGTTGGGAAGGGCTTTTCCTCCCGTTGAGCAACCCCCCCCCTTCCCCGGCCACAGCTGATGGGCTGTGAATCGGCACCAGGTGGGCGTCGGGATGGAGGAGCGCGCACGTTTTCCTAAGCGCTGACGTCACAGCGGACCCTGCGGCCGCAAATAATCACATTTCCCAGTCGACGCCGCAGAAAGGAGTGGGCTGGAAGACGCTGGGGGGGGGGGGGTGGAGGGGCGGTGTTGCATTAACGATTTGCGGTTGTCATGACAGCGACCAGCGAGGAGGCCGAGTCCTTCGCCTACAAACTTCCACTTAATTGGCAAAGCAGCGCGCTGCGTCCCCTCGCAGCCGTAAGACGCTGCGGTGACCCGATCATAAGTCACCCATCTGAGACCGATCAGCCCCTCCGGCCCCACGTGAGTAGGACTGTTGTCCGACATTATTATGGAGTCAGGTGGGCCGATAAAGGAGGGCCAAACAAGAAGTGTGAGCTCTCGATGTCTTGTACGGGATTAAGAAAGACGCGTGTGTGCTTCACTTGCTTTAACTTATTACATTATTATTATTAAATTACATTACATGTCATTTAGCTGACATTTAACTGTCATTTCCTTTTTTAACGCATCCAACACAGTGCGATTAGTGTGCTGCCATAAGCGCGCTCAGGGGTCGCCCAGGGGTCGCTCAGGGGTCGGGTGTCTTGCTCGGTTCGCCAACCCTGCGGTTCCTGGCGCACCGTCTGCACTCCGTGCGCCACAGTCGTCCACGTTCACAGGTTGGATCGAGCTTGGAGGGAAAAAAATGACAGCGTGACATTCTGCAGAACATTAAATCAATGTGCTCTGGTCTTTATCACCGGCAACATGTGTACTTCCTTCTGCTTTGTTGTTGTTGTTACTGGACAATCACACCGGATTTCAGGCGGCTGTCAGAACCCAAGGAACCGGACCGTACTACATGACCTGCACTGATTGGAGTCAGCCAGGGTTGCTTTGGAATGAAATGTGTCCGTTCGTAAGCAAGGATGGCTCATTAGCAATACAAAGATTTAGCTTAGCGTTAGCAGCCCGGCCCTGTAATCATTCCTGCGCTGCTAATAACTCGGGCGCTGTGCATGGAATCATCTTTGAGTCTGTCGCTGCCCGGCCCCGTCCCACCGAGTCGGGTGATTCTGTTCTCGTCTTCTCTGTGGCTCGTTATGCAACAAATGCAATTCGATCTTTGACCGCTTCGGTCTGGACTCCAACCACACGACCACTAATGAGGTTTGTGTTGGGCACTGATCACCTGGGCCTCGGGTGGCCCCCGGGGTCTAATCATGCTGTGCATACAATGAAGCACAAGCACCCAGAAACAATTCTACCTTCAAATCTTTTAACCGGTCAAATAAGCGTTTATCATCCATCGGTTTTGCAATACGGTCGAGCCGCGGCGGAAGCTGAGAGATGCTTTGAGCGGGAAACACAACCTCCCCGGTTCCTTTTAGTAGGAAGGCGTTCATATGTACATGGATGCAGACACACAAGTGTGAGCCTCGGTTGCTTTGTTTCTGTTGGCAGGGTGCCTTTGTTTTGCTCCACGGCAGCGCTGGGAGGGGTGGGGACGCATTATGTAATCCGTGGCGTGTGCCTGGGATACAGAAACGTAGATGCAGAAGGGTGTAACTACTAACACACACACACACACGATGACATAATCCACTGACTTCTTCAGTGGCCTGCTGGTATGCGCGTCCCCCCCCCCCCCCCCCCTTAGTGGTCCCGGCATCTAGCAGTGCTTTTGGGAACCCCAGAACAACGCCCTCCTTCACTTCTCCATTAGCAGCTGTGCGATCGAGGAAAGAAACTGTTACCATCGTCCTCGCGGCTTCGCCTCGCACACTAATGTCGTGCACAGGACACAGAAGCTGCGGCGGGTTTATTGTTACTAACATGGACAACGTCCCTGTTTTTTACTTTTTTGTATTTATTTACACATCAAAAGCAGATCCATTATCCATTTTCCTGTGGCTTCTAAGCCTTTGCAGATGCACACGTTGCTGCACTGAGTTTGTAGTAAACTAAACCGCCTTGAGGTGAGCACAACCCACGACATGTCACAAAATAGGAAGTAGAAAATAAGAAAAACGCAGGGTTTGCCCTGAAATGTTGTTTTTGTGTCTGTATTTCTTTTTTGTCACTGCCGATTCAGCTGTTTTTGAACTAAAGCGCTGGAAGCAATGAGCCCTGGACGTGGATACTCCTGATGTGCACCAGCCCACGCGCTGCGGCGGGAATCCCCTCTGTTCCACTATACGCCGTTCACGCCACATTGATTGATATTGATTACACAACGTTAATACTGCGTCACCTCCCACGCATCCCTATGGCTGTGCAGGCTGGACTGTGGGGGACGAGTGTGACGTACAGAAGAACTTCCCACGCTGCTCTAAATGCTATTTAAATATGCAAATTGAACCGTGGGTTAGTGCTCTGCGATAATGACAACAAACCCACGTTGACCTTAACCCGGGTACCCCACATACTCAACGCGGTGATTTCTAAAAGTGGGTGTGCTTGCCTGTGCTGTTGTCTGTGCACGCAGGGCTTGCCCCCCCACCGCCCCCTTTCATAATTACAGTAGTTTCCATAATGGAATAGTCGCGCTCGCTCCCTCTCTCAGCTGTGGAGGATCTGAGTCTGTTTTTCATTTGAAAGCGCGTCGTCCTGCTCCGGCCGTGTGGGAAGTATCCATCAGTTACATTCTGCACCGCCGCGGAACCACAGTCTGTGCGCTCGTGCTGAAAATGTTTCTGCTCTTGTATTGCAGATAAAATCGAGGAGGCACAGAAAGAGCTCAAAGACCCCAAAGGCTCACAGAAAGGTAAGAAGACTAAATAATTGCATTTAGTTATGTTTGTATGAGCAGCCGGTGAAATGTTGAATGAAATCAAATGCCTGCTGTGTTTTCACTAAAAGCTCATTAGTAGATTTGATTCTCTTGTCGGGAAGTGTTGTGGAAAATATTCATCGTATGTTTTATTCTTTTCCCTTTTTGTTTAGTCTTAATCTAATGACCATCCATTATTATTTCTTTGAACCAGAATGCCCGTAATGATAATATTCGGTACCTAGTTGCTGTGAATCATCTGGATCTTTGCAGCAGCCCCCACATTTATTTTTACTTCAGTAAAATCATTTGCAATATAAACGTTTTTTGGGCTAGTCCACTCATTCGTAACCATTCATAATGAAAATGTTAAATTCACGTGCATAAAGTTAAATCACTGCAACACAATTAAAATCTTTTACTGTACAGAAAGCAATATTTATCCCAAATGTATTTTTTTAGATTTATTTCTATTTCTATATTTTTATATGTGTGTGTGTGTGTGTGTGTGTCTTCTTTTCTTTGTATTGGCCGGTCTCAGATTTGGCTTTTTCTTCGCCACTCTGCATCCCGGAGTCGCCTCTTGTCTGTAGACGTTGACACTAGCGTTTTGCGGGTAGCATTTAAAGAAGCTGCCAGTCGAGGACCTGTGAGGCGTCTATTTCTCAAACTAGACACTCTGGTATACTGGTCTTCTTGCTCCGCTGTGCAGCCGGCCTCCCACTTCTCTCTCTGGTTAAAGCCCGTATGTGCTGTTCTCTGGAGGGAGTAGTTTACACCGTTGTAGGAAATCTTCTGTTTCTTCGCAAATTCTCGCATGGAATAGCCTTCATTTCCAAGAACAAGAATAGACTGGCGAGTTTCACGTGAAAGTTCTCTTTTTCAGGCCATTTTGAGAGTATAATCAAAGCCACAAATGTGACGCTCCAGATACTCAACCCGCTCAGAGGAAGCTCCAGTTTGACCAGCATAACAGTTTTCAGCTGTGCCAACATAACACAAGGGTTTTTAAATCATCCATTAGTCTTCTAAGGCAATTAGCAAACACGATGTACCATTAGAACACTGGAGTGATAGCTGCTGGAAATGGGCCTCTGTACACCTATGTAGATATTTCATTTACCACATTAACAATGTATAGAGTGTATTTCTGATTAATTTAATGTTGACAAAAAGTGCTTTTTAAAAAGAAATAAGGAAACTCCAAACTTTTGCACGCTAGTGAGTGTGTGTGTGTGTGTGTATATATATGTATATGTGGATATGTATATGTTTATATTATATATATATATATATATATATATATATATATATATATATATATATATATATATATATATATATATATATATATATATATATACACACACACACACACACAATCATCTATGCATGGAGGAAACACTACAGCAATGCCATTATAAAAACACATGAGGAACATGTTCATTTAAGGGCACTGATGTGTGACTACGTTCAAATTGAGAAGCCAGCTTGTTTGAGCCAAAGCGGCTTCCCGTTCTCTGTTTAAGCCGAGCTTAACTCATCACCGCGACATTGTCCCTTTGCAAGCTTTACCGGAATCCTTCACTGGGATTGAACTTGGGTGGACACGCTAAATAGACAGGTTATAAATAAGAATATCTCAATCCCCCTCTCAAGATGCAGCAGGTACTAATGTCCGGTACTGATCCTTTGACCAACAGGAAGCTGTTTTACACTCAGGATCATTCAGCCGCTGTCCTTATTGTGTCTACAGATCACAAGCTTCAAAAGGACATTGAATAGTTGGAGAGGGGAGGGGTGGGGGGGTGGATGTGATTCTTATGCCACGATGAGCCGTAACAGCTTTATCGAAGTTCCAGTTGAGGAAAGACGAGGACAAATGTTCTTTGTTGGCAAAGTGCTTTTTTAAGATGGAAGTTGTGTTGAAGTCATGGAATCTCTTTTACAGACTTGTCCCAGTTGTGGGTGCGAAAAAGGAATCTTTTCCCTGTGTCTCTCAGTAGCAGGCTGTGCTTTGAGTCCGTGTCACATTGGTTGTGTGCAGCTTTGAAATGGTTGCGTGTTTGTGTGGAGGGCGGATTAACTTATGTAAAGACGAGGCGTTCCTTAATCTACTTATACTGGAGACCTTGAAGGATCCGTGACCTCATCTTGGGAAATACCTACACAGGCCAGGAAAGTGTGACAGGGCACTGCTAATCTTATGCAACAGTCCTTAATAACACACAGCTGAATCACCACTCGACAAATGATGGGACTGCATGCTATGGGTGTGCCCTTTATGAAACACTGCTGCTTTATAGTGAATGCAGTTTTGAAAGAACTTTCATTCTGTGATCAGCCACGCCTGAAGCGTGGGCCTCTGTGGGATGTTAAACATCAATAATGTAATGATTTTTGCATTATAATTGCATGTTCGTTTTCCCAATTGAGTATATGGCTTTATGACAAAGAAATTCAACCAAATTTACTATTCTGACGGTTTGGCAGCGTAGAGCTCTCATGGGCTGCAGAGTTTGGATTAAGTTTATATGGAGGAGCCAAACAAAAAATATTTAAAAAATATTCAAGTCAGTGCAGAATAAAATAAAGTACTGACTTAATGATTTGCTTTTTGGTCTTAGAAAAAAATATGTAGGTTATAAATTGTGATTATATTATGTAGCGATGCTTTATCAATGAATGGCAGATAAAAATGTTGTTGTTGTTTGGGAAATAAACAGCTTCCATTGTTTTCTTAATATTCTAATTGGGGTTCAACCAATATTATTGATGTTATGCAAATAAAATATGTGATCTATAAATATAATATAATATGGTTGAATTATATGCATTCTCTTTGTTTTTATTAACTATTAGTTTCATGTCCTTCATCTCACCCGCTAACAGGTGGAATAATGGACTTTTGAGCTCAAGCTGCTGGGAATGTTTTACCAACAGTGCTTTTCTGTTTTCCTTCTCCCACAGGGATATCGGAAAGCAGTAGAAGAAATGCAGATAACATAAAAGGCCTGAAGCGAAAAAAGGTTGTCACAGAGAATCGGCTTGAAAAAATTCCGAAATCACCGCTGAAGGACCCCCTGAAGTTGAAAACATCTGAGACTGTGCTCCACAAAGCAGCATCCAAGGAAACTACACTTTCTTCCTGCTGCTCCTCCTCCAACAGTCCTTCCCACAATCCTTCAACATCACCCAGTGAGGAAGGAGACTCCCAATATGGCCAACCAGTTGCGACATCCCCTCACAAGGGGCCACCTTCCACCGACGCTGAAAGGTTGAAGCAGGACGAAACCACTTCTAGGCGACCGTCACTTGAGCCCGTCGCTGGTGAAGAGGGCTCAGTGATTGAAGCGTCTCAGTCTAAAGACAGCACGAGCAGAGACCCCAGCTTTGAGGGGGATCCTTACCAAAGCCGTGCTCCACTTGATGTTCTGCTCAAGGCGATGGAGCCTGACTTTAGCACACTGGCCGAGAGGAAAAACTCCTCGCAGGTCGCAGCCATTGCGAAACCAGCTTCCACCCTTAATGCTCCATCTAGTTGTGAACTAACAACAATGTCAGCTGTCAATATTGGTCTCCACAACCAACCTTCCCACATGCAGACGTATTATATCGACAAGCAAGGGAACTTTATTGGTATTGCAGCACCACTACAGGGAAATGTCCACACATCTATGCAGGGTACGCACATGCAGTCCTCTCCACTTACTACACCACATTATATGCCAGAAAAGCCTAGCTTGCACATGAGCTTAAATACCGGACCATCAACCATAACCCATGCACCTGTTCCCTTGGGCTCTAATACTTTGCCACAAAGCCAACCACCAGTTGTGCAGACATGCCAGTCCCTCTCAGCAAGTGTTCCAAGCACCGTCCAGGTCCCAGTTACACCTTGCAGCAACCAGGTTCAGATGACCCCTGTAATGACTTTTGGCATTGATCAGATTTCAAAGGATCAAAAGCCTAAGAAGCCTGGAAAGTATGTTTGTGAATACTGCAGTCGGGCATGTGCAAAACCCAGTGTGCTGCTTAAACACATCAGGTCACACACAGGAGAAAGACCATACCCCTGTATAACCTGTGGCTTCTCGTTCAAAACCAAGAGCAACTTGTACAAGCATAAGAAATCACATGCTCATGCTATAAAACTGGGGCTCATTGCTCGATCGGAATCTGGAGGCGGCTCCCTCTCTCAAGAGTCTGACAAAGCCCTGGGAACACATTCAGAGGACAGTGGAGACAGTGACGAGGATGGTAGCACTGCAGATCTGGACCCCGACTCATCACAGAGTAGTGTGGCAGCTATGTCTGAAAATAGTTCACAGAGTGTAGGTACAACCCAAGCAAGCCACGGGGAGGCTGACTCGTCAGCTGTGTTTGAGTCAATTAAACCGGCCCCAGGTCAGAGGGCGTATGAGCCCAAAGTGACAGCTGCACTTCCAAAAGTTGTTGTATACCCAGTTAACGTCTCCCCCCTAAGGGCAGATAGCCCGAGAGTTACATGTGCAGCACCTGAGCAAGCGGCTGCACAACGGCAACGAGAGTTCCAGACGGCTAATATGAGATCAAGCATCACAGTCCTGTCATCTCTTAAAGAGGTGGACGGTACAAATCCCTCACTAGATACTGTGAGTGAGGATGAAGACCAACAGTGCAAGTCTCTGCTCTTGAGTGGACATGCTCAGCTTCAGAGGCAACAAGCAACAGACTTTTCTCAACAGCAGCAGGCCAAGTGTCTACTAAGCCCTCGCAGTTTGGGAAGTACAGATTCTGGCTATTTCTCGCGTTCTGAAAGTGCCGACCAGGCAATGAGTCCACCCAGCCCGTTTGTAAAGATAACGCCACCAGTGGATGTCGACAATGCCAACAAGAGCACCCTTCCCAATGTCCCTCCTATGGTTGCCACAGTAATGCATGTAGCAGCTGAGCAAAGGCCGCGAGCCACAGAAGGACAGATGCGACCTCCATTGGAAGCCAAAGCACTCTCTCTGGAAGAACGGATTTCAAAGTTGATATCTGACAATGAGGCGGTAGTTGACAATAAGCAGCTGGACAGTGTAAAGCCAAGGAGGACATCTCTCTCAAGGAGAGGTAGCATAGATTCCCCTAAATCATACATATTTAAAGACTCCTTTCAATTTGATCTTAAACCAATGGGGAGAAGATCAAGTTCCAGCTCCGATATCCCCAAGTCCCCATTTACTCCTACCGATAAATCAAAGCCAGTATTTCTTCTCTCTGTACCTTCTCAATACTCACCAATGGATTGTTTGCCAATAACAAGAAGTAACTCTATGCCTACTTCACCAGGTCCCTCTGCTCTTCCGCTAAATGTTGCGCCCCTTCCCTACCCTCTGCGAATTTGTCAGTCATTTGATGACAAAATGAGTTCATTTAATGATGAGGTATTTTCATCAGCCCCATCAACACCAAATCCAGCATTACATTCTCGTACCTTGGTCAGACAAGCAGCAGTGGAAGACTTTACCACAAGTGAGGGGCATGGCCTCCCTACTGTTCGCTCAATGGATGAGGCCTATCACGGTCCATGCAGTTCCACAGAGCTGACACAAAGAAGCCGATCTTTTGAGCACGGTCAGGACAGAAACCGAAAGCCTCAGCAGAACAAAGGGACAATGTATGAGTGTGAAACGTGTCGTAATCGGTACAGAAAGTTAGAAAACTTTGAAACTCACAAGAAATTCTATTGCTCTGAACTTCATGGTCCAAAAAACAAGCCAATCCAGGTTAAAGGAACGGATCAAGACGTTTTTCACGTTAACATGATGCAGCCCACAGTCCCTAGAATAACTACTGCGTCGGGAATACTTGATCAACAAACATCAATTAGGAAGAGAAGGAAAATGAAAAGTGTTGGAGATGAGGACGATCAATCTCCTACTGACACCATTCCACCTTGTTCTGTTAGTTTTGAGCTACCGACAGCTTTGGCAAATCAGAATATTTGTCCGCATGCCGTAATTGTAGACATACAACCCAAAAATAATCAGTCAAAGCTACCCCAGATTCAGCTCCTAGCCAGGAGTAGTAATACTTCAGACTCCAGACTGTCACCAATCCGAGAGACCCAGATTGGTACTTCTACTAAAGGAGACTTACATAGGCAGGGCAGTGGTACTTCAGTCATCAGACACACCAATTCTCTCAGCAGACCAAATTCATTTGAAACTGAATCCATTGAAAGGGCCTCTCCTGTTGATATTTTGGAGAAGGATCCCCTTAACCTACTCAAAACTGATGCAAAAGCAAATGTCTCAGCTGACAGCTACCATGAAAATATGTCCAAATCCAAGAATGCTGACTGTGGAAAAGAAAGGAAGGAACAATACACTGATGGCGCAATAGAAGCAGTTGGCGACAACACCACTCCTGTCCATCAGTCTCGTCTAGTTCGCCAAAACAACATCCAAGTTCCTGAGATTCTGGTCACAGAGGAGCCTGACAGAGAACATGAAACACAGACTACTGAGCCGTCGGATAAGCCTGCAGATCAGTTCAGCTGGCCTCAGAGAAGTGAGAGTTTGTCAAAGGTGCCAGCAGAGAAACTTCCGCCAAAAAAGAAAAGAATTCGTCTTGCTCAAATGGATCACTCTTCAGGTGAATCCAGTTTGGAGTCAAGCCTTTCGCGAAGCCTCAGCAGGGAAAGTAGTCTTTCTCGATGTTCCAGTATTTCAGCCTCTTTTGACAGAGATGAGCCATCTCGGTCAGAGAGTCCTTCCAGAGGGGAGTGTGTCAACAAAGTTCCAGAGCCTAAAGGTTTGCCAATCGTGTTTAACACCCTTGGTGTGCCGGGTATGATGAGACGTGCTGCATCTGAACAGATCACTTATACTCAACCATCAGTGGAAATCTCATACGACTACCGTAGCAAGTCCTTTGACTGCGGCAACGTATCCCCCAGCAGATCTCTGTCACCTTCTGGCCAGCCAAAAAGTGGACAAATCCCCCAAGTTCCCCAGGTGCCACTTATTGAAAGAAGGCGGGGGCCATTAGTTCCCCAAATGTCTTTAAAGATAGGCCCCGAGAGTCAGCAATCTGTTCGGAAAGCTGTCATTCCTCTAGATAAACCTCCCGTTCCGAATGTGAGCTCTTTAACTCAGAGTAGACCCCAGCAGATTCACATTGCCAATAGGCGCAACATGGCTCAGCCTTTCATCCTGCACACCGGAGAAGCACCCTTGCAAAAGAACGAGCAGAGGGTGCAAAGCATTCATTTGGGTAGCCCTACTCAGCAGCCCCAAGTCTATGGCCTGCCACATCCTTGGCATCAAACATCAAGGGTTCATATATGCCAAAAGATGCAACCACCTCTGAGCCAGATCTTAGTTTGTCGTGAGAATATCCAAATCAAAAGAGCCAACTCTGAAGAAAAGAAAGAAAGAAGTTTAGTGCCCAAATACCAACTGCAGTGTCCCGCTCTCAGAGCAAGCCAAACATTTTCCTTCTCCAGCACACAGGGCACGCAGATAGCCTTGCCAGTTTTAACAATACCTATTGCAAATCCAATTTTGACCACGTCAGACGTACTCCAAAATGTATGCGTTGGTCAACACAATCAAAAGGCTTCAGAGATTACGACACAGACCGTTGTTTTGTCAGGTGAACAGCACAGGGGCCCCTTTGATCAGAACCAAGCAGGTGTTATACCATTGCCACAGATCCTTATCACTCATGAGCAGATGCAGCCTGCTCCCTCTGTGTCCAGTAAAAACGACTTTTCATCCAATCACAGTGTAGAGAGTGATACTCATGTTGTACCAACTATGAAGAAGGACAGGCCTCAAACAGTTAGCACTCACAGCCATACTGGTGAACAAGCACCCTCTCTTGGGTCTTCACAATGGACACACAAACTGTCATCCGTGACTCTCTGCCCACAGCAGGAACCCACTGCTTCAAGTAAACGGATGCTGTCCCCTGCCAACAGCTTGGACATCTATATGGAAAAGCACCAAAAACGGGCTAAGGATGAGCATGGCGTGGCCTGTCTAACTGACGGCAGATCGGTCAATTATCTCAATTCTAAGATGTCAGAGGTTACCAGACAGCGGAAGCTTACACTTGTACGGCAGGTTTGCACAACTGAACCAGTGGACAGTCCCATTGAAACTGAGGCCCCGCCTCTGCCGCAGGTTAAAACCGATGGGGAGAACGACTCGCAGGCTACTGACGATGTTAAGCCCATGTCACCTGACAGTGCTGGGCTGAATAAAGACACAAGCACTGTTATTCATGAGGAAGCAGGCCGGCCCCTTAATAACACACCTAGTGGTCAGGGCACCTCCCTGCCAGCTAGTAACACTCTGAAACCGCAGGAGCAAGCAGAAGAACACAGATGGACTGCCAAATGTCCTATTAGGCCCTCCAGCTTCCACGGTGGTCAGGTGAAATTGACTACATCCGTGTCTGTGGTTAACACCAAAGACAGCCATCGCCTCTCTTTCCCCAGTTTGAAGACTGCCACCACTTTCACATGGTGTTTTTTGATGAAGAGGAAACCGCTTCATGTTCCACAGACTGACCTGAAGACATCGGCCTATGCTGTCTGGACGGTCAGCCCTAACAACCATAACCTGCTTGGGTTGCCCACCAAGGTGGTCATGTCTCTGTTTGACTCAAAGCAGAGCTCCAAGAAAACACACTACACCTCGGCCATACGAACGAGTGGGAAATCGGACATCTTGTCTTACTCAGGCAAGCTGAAAGACATCATGCCCAGAGTAAGATCTAATGCAAAGTTACTACTTTTTAAATGAATCTTATTTCTCATATACTGCAGATTTTTTCTTTTTATATTTAACAATAATACATCGACCCCATCTTCTCTCTGCAGGTGCCAATAACCCAGAAGTCTGTATCACTTGAAAGCAGAAGTAAAGTGCAACCAGAAACTCAGGCCAGCTGTGAGTCGGACAAGGATGTGGCATCTAAAACCGAACCAAGAAGGGTCAAAATATTTGATGGAGGGTACGACTAAAAACTATTCATTAGATTTATATCATGTAAATATTATCTTGTAGCCTTATTTTTCCTTTGACTTTCCATTGCGACTCCACAGATACAAATCTAATGAGGAGTATATTTACGTGCGTGGGCGTGGACGAGGTAAATACATCTGTGAGGAATGTGGGATCCGCTGCAAGAAGCCAAGCATGCTGCGCAAACACATCCGCACCCACTCCGATGTCCGGCCGTACCACTGCGTCCACTGCAACTTCTCCTTCAAGACCAAAGGTTAGTGCTCACCAGCTGATCAGTGCTGAATGCTACAAAGCTAGAGGTGCTGCTCCTTTATCAATAAAACTCACATGCTATGACTATAGCTCGTCATGATCCAGATGTTAACCATCTATTCTATTACTGAATACATATGCAGCATGATAAATGTGCTACCTGAACATACACTTCATATTAGAGGTTATATTTGTAATATCCCTGAACTGCTACAGTTAGACGTAATTTTTTCTATAATAAGCAAGAAGTTGTTTCACTATCTCCTAAACCAAGACGATATGATTCACTATTCTTTATCAAACTAGCCTTCCCACGCCACACTCTAGAACAGTACTTGGTGTCAGAGCAACCCACGTGCATTTAAAAATGTCTTTTTCTGTTACTCACCCTCTACATGCAGCTTGCCCAAAGACCGCATTCTCTTACATAAACTCCTTCTGTGCTATTGTTCGAGCTCTACCCACCCGTAAGACCTCGCTGCCTCTCTTCTTGCAGGGAATCTGACCAAGCACATGAAATCCAAGGCGCACAGTAAGAAATGCTTGGAGATGGGGGTTCCTGAGGGTCTTATTGAGGACCAGGATGCAGAGGACTCAGGTACAGTGCTTCACTGGTAGCCACGACGGGAACGCCCAAGAAGCGGTTTATATCCATGTTTAAACAGAATCACCTATTCCCCCCTCGGTCGTGTCATGAGAGATTAAACACAGATTGGACCCACTTGAGTTCTGTTGCTCTGTCGATCAATAGCTTTGCCATGGTCTAATTAGAAATTCTAAATGCAGGTCCTTCCTCTGTTAACTCAAAGCGCATGTGGGCGGCATGCACAGCATTTAGAGAGGAAATTGCTGCGTCTAATTTTAGAAGAAAAAAAAAAAAAGAAAAGGAGCGAGAAGCTCCCTGAAAGCATTCTATGGTCCCAGTCTCTTAAGAGCATATTTGTTTTTCCTCCTCTGCCTGTGATGGAGCTCAGGGGCGTGTGGTGGTCTGGGGTGTGAAACACTGCAGCCCCACAAAGCCTCTGCCTGCTGTATTCTTAGTGGTGGGCTTTCTCAACGTGTGGGAGAAACCTACAACATAATAGGAGATCTTTGATGACTAAAAGTGGTTCAACACATATATTCTCATGTCAGCTCTGATGACTCATTTGTTCTGCAGAATAACACGGATAGACTTAACTTCTTACATATTCTATCATCTGCAGGGGACCGGAGTCAGGTGGGCAGCGCCGACCGCCAAGATTCAGATGGTGACGACTCTGATGGCCCTGATGATGAGGAGAACGACGACAACGAGGAAGAGGAGGAAGACAGCCAGGCAGAGTCTGGTCTGTCTACCAACCCCTCTGTCTCCGCCAGTCCTCAGCACCTCCCTTCCAGAGAGGCTGAAGTCCCTCCCAGCGCCCTGCTAGCCAAGATGTCAATCTGCTCGGCCTCCTTACCTCTCTCGCGGCCTCCGGCCTGCGAATCCCACGGAGCAGATTACCAATCTGTCCCCATAATGAGCCCTGTGTCCCTGAGCAAGCAGATATTCATCTCTGGGTCCTGCTGCAGCTCAGTGCTCCTCCCTGACTCTGTTCTGCCCGTTGCCACAACATCGGACTCTTACACCTCGGACACAGAGTCGGTGCACATGATGAGCCCGGTGTCTCCGTGCAGGCAGATGTCCATCGACTACCCTGACTTTGATGTGCCCCCTAGTCCTCCAGTGCCAGGCAAGGGCTCCAAGCTGGGCCAGGTGAGACCCATGTGTTCTCAATGTGTCTCTGTCCCCTCACCCCTGTCCGCCTCTTTTCTTTCCTATTGAATTCACACACTTTGATTTCCAAAAACCTCCTGCAAATGTCTAGTTTATTCTGATTAGGCCTGATGGACGGCTCCAAAGACCATTTCACGTTAGCTTCGTTAAATGTTGTAGGATTTTTGAGCCTGAATTCCTTCTCTTTCCACAGGACACCTCCTATGCACCTCCTGCTGTGGCAACCAGCGAATTGAGCGTACCCGTGGACCGCAGCACCCAGACTTCCTCTTATGCTTCTCAAGGCCTCGTGCACTTTCCCCCCCACGGTCTATCCCAAACCCCAGGAACAGAGACCCAGTCGCACCTATTCAGTCACCTGCCCCTGCACTCCCAGCAGCCGTCTCGCTCCTCTTACAGCATGGTGCCGGTTGGGGGAATCCAGCTGGTGCCCGCTGGCCTGGCAGCTTACTCCACCTTTTTACCGATCCAGGCCGGCCCCGTCCAGCTCACCATCCCGGCAGTCAGCGTCATTCACCGGAACACAAGCCCGTTGCCAGCCCCCAACACTCCTCCCCATCCTCCGCAAACCCGGCCCCTTGTGGTCCAGGAACCAATCAGCAGTGTTCTGCCTTGCTTCCCTTTAGGGCAGGTCACTGGCCTGCAAGCTCAAACAATACATCCAGTCGGCCTGGAGACACTAAAACTCATGGGGCTCACAAACGCAGGCCTGGCGTCCACCCAGCTGCTGCCCCAGCAAGGGCTCACCCTGGGGCTGCAGGTGCTAGCTGCCAACGCCACCTCGCAAAGCAGCACCGGCCCCCAGACGCACGTGCCAGGTCTGCAGATAGTTAACATCGCGCTGCCCGCCATCATTCCCTCTCTCAGCCCTCTGCCGGCCCTCAGTCCGCTCCCCGCGTCGGCGGAGAGGCGAGGCAGCCCCGAAGCTCCGGGAGCTCAGAGTGAACAGTGGCTCGGTTCTTTGCGGAGCTGCATGCCCGCTCCGTCGCCCGCCCCGGTCAGCAGCTGTCCAGAAGTGCTGTCGGGGAGCAGAGCTTCCGCCGCAGGTAGCGGCGGCCGAGGGGAGCTCACGCGCTCTGTTGAGGGTCAAGAAAGGGGTACGTCTCCACGGCAGAATCGATCGCCGGCCCCTGAGAGAAGAGCAGACCAGGCGCAGAAGTCGCCAGCGGAGGCAGCTCGTGATCCGGCGCCTCACAGAGCACCGGCAGCGAGCAGCTGGCAGAGCGTGAATGATGACTATAACGAGGTATCCAGCGATGATGAAGACAGACTGGTCATTGCCACATGAAAACCCCCACGCGCAAAGCTCTTGTTCTCTTTTTGTAATTCTTGTCACTTTGTAAGACTGAAAACACTTTCCCGGGGGTTTGTCTCGTTGCAAATCACCTTTCAAAGCACAGATGCTGACATTCATATTGTATGTGCAATCATAACATTATAATAATGACCAATCGTTTTTATTTGTACTTTTTTTTTGTCAGCTCCAGACAATTTCTTTTTTGTATATGTTGTATAGACAATTGTGCCTTTTATGGAGTCTCTTGTTTAGGAACCTGTACATAATTCCTTATGGATTCAGTAGTTGCTTGTGTTTATTTCAAAAAATAGAAAAAGTGGAGGATATTGATTTGAGGATTTGTCATTCTTCGTAAATTTATGGAATTATAAATGTTGTACTGGTATATGTACATTTCTATGGATTATTGGGCAATATTTCTGTGTTCAGATGTTGTGTTCAACTATTTATTACAATCCATCTAGTGCCCATTATGATTCAGTCCATAGGTATGTGTATTATAGTAGCTTTACATTGCTGTATTAATATTCTTAACTGTATCAGTAAAAAAATTGTTTACAAACAAAGTGGTGTCACTGTATTTCTGTCAGTTAAACATGTCGTCATCATCACTAGGTTCCGTCTGTATAACATACGGGTTTATCTTTTCTGTTGTTTATTATACATCACATTTATTATTGTGGGGCCCACATATGAGAAATCAAGAGAAAATTAATTGGCAACATTTTTTACATTTGAACCAACTTTTTTTGCACAGTTTGGTTAACACCAGGGAGATAGATTGTTAATAGAACTAGTTCTACTAGTTCTTGTTCCCATTTTTTTTGTACACTTTTATTATGTATTCTAGCTTTTTAATGAATGTTTGACATGCTGTACTAATACTTTTTTTTTTAATATATATATATTCATATGTTTTTTTGTTTGTACACACCTGTTGTGAAGCCCCTCTTCCTCCCGGGCACTAGTTGTCGCTGTTGTTTGGTTCTGGGTTGTGTGTTGCAGACCTAGACGGAGGCCATGATGAGGATTCCTGCTGCTCACCGGCTCGGCTCTGGTTCTTCCTCCCACTCAAACCTGCAGCACACCGATGTGAACAGAAATATAACAATAGTGATAATGACAATGACAATAACAGCAGCAGTGGATTTAGTAGAATAATAAAGACACCATTGGTATCGGTAATCGTAATGTGACTATAAATAATAATGACGTTAACAAGTGGGTGTCACAAGATCCATGGCCGGAGGTACGGCCGTGGTCCAGATATAACCAGGATGCATGGAAAACATGGAAAAAACGGCGAGAAAGTAGAAAGACAGAGAAAGAAGCTAAATTAGTGATGTGCATAAATGGGACATGAATTCATACAGGAGAGAAGCAAGAGGAGAGAGGAGCTCAGGGTATCTTAGGAGGTCCCCTGGCAGTCGAGGCCAAAAGCGGCTTATCTAAGGGCTGGTCTGTGAACACATGAGGCATACAGGACTGGTTTTAAACTTCCACCAGCATATACCTGTCCCTCTCTCAGTGGCTCAGCTGTCCGCATATCTATATCTGGAGAACGACCACGTGAAATAACATCCGTCCCTCTGGTCCCTCAATCCGAGAAGCTTCTCAGAATACACATATTTGGATGAGCAGCATCACCTAATGGGATTTACAACACATGTAATTGGTTAGTATGTTCCTCGAATCTGTGAAAGCACCGTGCTATATTAGACCTCCTTTTTTATTATTATACATTTATTATTTATTATTAATATTATATCTTTTGACGTATTATTTGTACTTATTTTTAGAATGTGCATTAGTTTGCAGGTGGCCTCATGGGTACGTCAACATGAATGTACAGCACAGCATTATCGTGCACTGTGATTGGTCAGTGGGCCAGCGTGACTTCTGTGTGACTTCTGGCTAAAAAAACCATTAACTGTGACGTGCAAAGCGTGCCACTGCAAAAACTGCATAAACCACATTTTTGTCTCAACTCAGGAATAATTACAGACATTTTCCCTTTTCTTTGTGCATCATGAGAATACATGTTTTATCTGGATTCACGCTACCCTTTATCTTTATTCCTTCGCCTATTGCTACTAAGGAACAAGGTGTCATTCATCTGGATTTGGAGGGGCCTTCCTGCCCAGCTCAAGCGGACACGTCTGTACAAACTAATGATGGTCTAATGGTCTATTTAAAGTCTTTGTTTTAAAGAAATATATATATATATATGTATATATATATATATATTTGCCTAACCTAAGTGGACTGCAGTCCTTTTGATGAAGCTGCTCATCATTCCGGCGGATCCTTCAAATGTGGTCTGCGATTTGGAGGACGCTTCCCATCTGATGTACCCTCTGCGGCCCAGCTTATCCCATCATTCATTGCGGGCCGATGAAAATCAACGATCTGCTAGTGAAGCTTGGAAATATGTTGTATTATCTTATGGATGACTGGAAAGTGTTCTCTTAGCCCAAAATCTATCATGCTCAAGAGGTAAAGCATATCATAGTAAATTAAATGAAATAAGGTTACCATCTCTATCTGCATTTTATACGTTTTCGAGTTACAAGGCTTTCATTGTCGAGCGCAGCGGGTTGCTAGGCAACCACAATGGTTCAGCCTTTGCGGTCGTTAAAGGACCCAGCCCACGTAGCACGCATTGGCTGGGTCCTTCGGAGGATGCAGCCGCCGCATTGGGACACAGCTGTGGACCTTTTTTTCCCCCATGGAGAAAAGTCACTCTGGTTCTTTCTGCCCCGCTGCTGCAAGCGACATACATATTCATGTCAGTGTGTGAAAATATAACAAAATAAGAAAATATAAAAATGATCTCGATTTTTTGCACACGTTTCAGGGGGTGGCGCGCCCTGTTACAGTGGTAGAGGAAACACTGACTTGCGTACCTGTATACGAGCGAGTTTGCAAGCACAGACAACAAGTAAACAGGATGTGGATATGTGGTTTGGTAGCTTCTTTTTCAGCAGGTAGAATCAGGGGAGTAAAGTTTCCAGGATGTTACTTTAACACTTTTGCACTGCATTACGTTGAGGCTGGTGGAACATATGAGTCTACGTTGAATATTTGTTGAAAGTTCCTGTTATAACTTTGGTTGCAAAGAGGCTTTATTGTCGTGTGTGTTAGAGACGGGACATCCCGCTACCTTTTCTCCCGTCTTGCAGTGACGTTGGTCTGGTGTCATTAGATCCCTTCACCAAAACCACTTTGTTTAGGGTGATCATGGTTTTGGGCTAAAACAGGTAAGTGAATCCCAGAAGTTATCTGCGATGGAGCTTCCAAACCGGCAGAGACGCTAACAACATTAAAGGAAACGCTTACAGTTGTATTTCATTTTTATATTTTCAAGAGTACTTTGCTAACTATTGTCTTTATTACAGCATTGAATCCCTCGCTCCTTGGTTGACTGTTGTCCGCAACAAACAAAACAATATCCATGCAAGCAGGGGGAACATGTGCCTCCCCATGCAAGCCAGATCCTGCAAAGAAAACACAGGAAACTAGATGGCGTAACTATGTAAGTTTACTTTTTGTTGTGGTTGTGCACATGTTCATACTGATCAGTAATGTGAACTGAGTTCAAATACTCCGCAGTGAGCTGCAGCGAGACAACTCCTGCTTTACTCGTCATTCTCTAATGTGATCAACAACTTTTCCCAGGACATTTTCCTCAACATTATTGCATGTACATCAAATACTATATAGTACTCCAAGTTATTCAATGTCTTCTTTATGACCCACTATATTAGTTGTTTTTTTACATGCGCACAAAAACGCTCGCAATCTCGTCTCCCAACATCCATCCATTAAGCCTCCAGTCTCCTCATCTGTCACTTTGATGTGTGCGTGTGTGTCATTGTGTGTCTGTTAAATAAAAACCTGCTTGGGACCCCGTCACCTCTCCAGATCGTAGACTGAGCCGTCCCGGGCACATTCTCATACCCCCTCGCTACGGTCGAAGCCTGGTTCCCTGCAGGGACCTGAGCCCCCGGCTGGCTTTACTGTAGTCCAGCCGTAACACCGTTTCATTACCGTTTTATTTGTGTCCTGCTATCCTGAGACTGGTTTTGGACAAACTGTACTATGAGTTGTCTTGATTGCATACTATCATGTCATTTATATTGTGTCTTTTTTGACACCACATTTCTTAATTATATTTTATGGTACAATATACATGTTTTTAGCAATTTTAAATTATATAAAAGCAGTCTATCATATTGTTTATTCATTTTGACTGAATCATTACGCTGTGACGTTTATTCCAACAAACTATAATAACCGTTTTATGGAACTTCGATGAGATACTACAAAATTACTTATTATATTCCACTTCACGTGGCATTTTTACTAGGACTTTTTGAAACGAACTATAATGACATTTGACATTTTTTTTATAATGTACTGTTTATGAGATTTTTATGATATGAAATTGTTCAGGAGGAGACAACTGTGTGCCCATTAAAATGACACCACTTCATTAAAAGCCAATCAAACCGATGGCACTTACTTGATGAATAAATAATTATATTAGTTTTACTGGTACCACCTACAAGAAAAATATAAATAAATCCTCAATACGTGAACAAACACTGTCAGGCCGTCAATGAGGGAAACCTGTCTTTAACAAAGAGTTCTCCCCCCTCCTCAGGAAGCTGCAGCAAAGCAGAGAGAGCCCCCTAGAGGCCGTGGTCTGCTAGTGCTGAGGAAACAACAACAACAACAACAATAATGGTTTTGTTTTTTAAAGCGCTTGGAACCCAAAGACCCTTTACAATGTATATCCAAGTAAAGGAAACGTACTGATAAGAGAAATAGACAGAAACACTCAAAAATAATAAATAAAATACATTTTAAAAAATCGAACTGGAGAAAATTGGACAATGACCCATCACGTCAGCTCTCTCATTCTATCTGCTGTCTCCTGTCCGTCTCCTGTCCGTCTCCTGTGAGCTCTGGACATATCGGGCCTCAGAGAGCTTGTTTTTTGTATCATTAATAAACAGAACAGCAGTTGTGGAACACAAGGTACAGCGCAAAAGGGGCCTTATATTGACTCAAAATGGTTAACGTATGACAACAGAATCAGTTCAAATGAATACTTCCTAAAGTACTTTGATACGTACACATGTGCATTTCAAGCACTGGCTGATACCTCTTGATTACCCGTTGAAATATGAAATCTCCAGAAAGACGACGTTGCATTATCTATTCTGGAGACAAAGGGCTCCCTCTACAGGCAGCACGTGTGCACAGAGGCGATGGCTCTCTAGTTTGACAGCATCCCTGCCTTTGAAGGGCTGACATGCCTTTACTGTTGCAAGCCAGACAATCTGCAAGCTAGTATTTTAGCATTTTGATATTCTATTTTCACTTCAGGGGCATATTTGATGCACATGCGAGAATTAACGGGAGACCCCAGCTAGTTATTAGTTTGTTTGGAACCATTGTTTAATCACGAGTAGCTTAAGAAGTCTCTAAACTCAGCCAATCTTATTATTATAGCGTTTAATTGTATTTTCTCTTTCCCACCTCCTCTCTGTATTCCTGGACAAATTCAATGTTGTACATTTTGCAGTAAATGGCTGCTCTTTAGATTTTCCCTGTTGTTATATATATATATATATCCCCTTTATTACATTTTTAATAAATAGAAAAATATAAAGTTATCTTATATCGTTTGTCTTCCTTGCTAAATAAGTTTACATTCTCTCAACGTTGAATACAAACTCCCCTTGAGCTGTACTCCGCACTGCTTCTTCAGTACTAATTAAATCAAGCACTTCATATCTGTGCTTCGTACACTTTATATTTCTATAACACGTAAACGTCCCTGTGCACAGCAGCGGTTCAGACATCCGTCCTGTCGCTCTGCTGCCACCTGCCGGCTCAGAAGTGCAATTCCTCCACTAGAGTCCGACAACATACAGGTCGCATCCACCCAGGCGGGGGTCCTCCATCCACCCAGGCGGGGGTCCTCCATCCACCCAGGTGGGGGGTCTTCCATCCATCCAGCCGGGGGCGGTTCTCCATCCCCCGATACGGATCCGAAGCCCACTGGACCTGCTCAGCTCGGTGTCACGGCCACTAACAAGCTGCGTGTCTGCGTGTGAGCCCAAAGGACACAGCTGCGCGCCGCTGCAGGGGAGGGAGGGAGGGAGGGAGGGAGGGGAGGGGAGGGGGGAGAGCTGGTGTATAAAGTCAAAGGGCTGCACATATGGGCCACATTGACAGAGAGCCTGCCGATCAGAGGAGCATCACCGGGTCCCTTTGCGTCGGACTGATACACTGGATGGTTATTTTGGCCACTACTGGAGGATTACTCGCTCTCTCGAGGACTGGAGTCATGGACATGTGCATTTGGATTTCCGCGTTGTCACTGATGCACACCTGGATTATCTGCGCAGGTAACTTTCGACCTATTTAAACCCTTTATTACACCTTCAGTTTCACTTCAGCTCACCCCTTTGGTCTGATACCACCTGTGTTACTTTTCCACTTCCAATGTGAATCATGGCCGCAAAGCATCGTGAAATACAGTTGGGTCAAAATACGGGGCATTGTTTTGATCCCGATCATCTTGTTTCAGTGCTGTCGGCGCCCGCAGCGCAGACACCCGCTGCCTCCACCGACGCGCCGCCGCGGCGCCATGTGCGCAACAAACGCTGCTCCTGCGCCACTTTCCTGGACAACGAGTGCGTCTACTTCTGCCACCTGGACATCATATGGGTCAACACTCCTGAGTAAGTCCACAGCAACGGGTCCAACACGCGTCTCCAGTGGAGACACTTCAGAAATACCGGACAGAAGATTAATAAGCAAATATTCAGTATCGATTAATTGGAGGCGATCTTTTAACTGCAAATAAAGCAAAATGATAGTTTTCTCTTGGTGCGTTTTGATTTATAAATATATATAATATTGGAGTCTCGTTGGTTTTAACCTGCTTCTGTCCCCTTTGCGTTCAGGCGCGTGGTCGCGTACGGACTGGGCAGCGCTCCCCGGACGAGGCGCGCGCTCGCGGATCCTCGCTGCCAGTGTCTGCGCCAAAACGACGTGACCTGCACAAACTTCTGCCAGCTGGAGAGCCCCCCCAGGTACCAGCCCCCCCCCCCCCTAACCCAGCTATCAGCTCCTCACGCGCCTCGTGCACAGCAATAAGACACGCGCGCAGCCACGCTAGAAACGAGTCGGTGCGGCACCTGCCCGTGAGACCGGACCCCTCTTCTCACCGCGGGGGGGTTTCTCTGTGTGATCGCAGGTTTGAGACGGACACGGCGATGCGCGCCGCCGAGGCCGGTGCGTGTGCGGGGCCGCAGTGCAAACTCAAGCTGGCGGGCGACACGGACACGATTAAGAGGTAAGAAAGTCTCAAAAACTGTTGGCAGAAAGAAACGCTCGTGTAATTAGAAAGTCACTCCCTCTCAGGGAACTTATTCCGTTTATTTATTTTGCATGGTGAGCCTGCAGAGATTAAGACACAGGCAGGACTTCCAAGATGAAGTCTAAAGCAGGATATAAAACCCTGAGATTGAAGAATAGAAGACTAGAAGACTCAGTTTGAGTAATGTGGGCTATAGAGCACAAACACCATTAAACATTAAGAAGAGGAGGGCCATCAGCTGGCAGCAGAACGAGTGTGTTCTTCATCCATTGGCCTGAACGCCGGTGACGGTCTGCTGAATACCACCCGTCCACACAGGCGGGCGTAACCTGGGCGATCTGGGTGACTGACTGTTTCCCGTCTGTGTCTGTGTGTGTGTGTGTGTGCAGGATGAAGAAGGGCAACAAGCAGCGGGTCTCGCCTCCGGCCATCAGGGCGGCCCCGAGTCTGCTGCTCAAGAGGTGGAGGGAGAGGCAGCGCCACCGGTCGAGGGCGCGGGAGGGCGAGCGCGCGGCCCTTCACTAAAAGCCCCCGCGGACAGACAATGAGAGCCTCACGGCTCAGAAGACGCTCATCTCCTAGGGGGTCACTGTCCCCCCCTTTGGACTCATGGGACAAATAGTATTTCAAAAGGGACATTACTGGAAGGACGTTGCAGGAAACGGAAAGCACTGCGCTGTGTATGGATGAAGGCGGTCCTGCTTATTATATTTCAAAATGTAATTGTTATACAAGATATAGTGTGTAATCGAGTGGACCATGTGCCTTTGTGCAAGGCACTTTACCACTGACTGAAACTAGTCTAGCTGTGCTGTACACTAGCTGCTAGGACCTTTGTTATGCTGGTGTTATCAAAGATATCGTAATTTAATGATTTTAACTAAATATGTGTGTGTTCCATTTATTTATTCTTTCCACACGTTGTGATTTGATGGCCACATTGGTCCGTCACGTTCTTGAGTTTGTCATTTCTATGAAATGTTTTGTTACCAAGTTGCCAAATTTTGGCCAAACTGAAATAAAATTTGTAAACCTTTTTATTTAAAAAAAAACAACTGTTCAACTCCATCATTATTGTCTTTTGTATTGTTATTGTTCGAGGGTATAATTGGATAAAACAGGTGGAACACAAGCAGTTCAGTGCTGAGAGGACTGCACATTGGTAAAAAAAAACACACCAAAGGGGAAAGAGGAGTGAGACAGCGTGTGAGGCACGGGAATGGAGAGAGAGAGAAAGGGGGAGAGAGAGAGAGAGAGAGAGACGGACTTGCGTGACAACAGAAGAGTGTTGATGCGGAAGACAACGAGGCGAAGACCAGTAAAGAGCCACTGAGCGAACCAGAGCACTCATTTCTAAATCCACTGCAAGGACATGGAAGCTCCAGACACACCGCCCTTTAGCTGTGATGATCTCAGCATAATTCAAAGGACCCGTGTCCCTCTCATGCGTGATGTCCCTCACGCTACTCCGCCCCCTTCATTGACCACCAGAAGCTGCCCGCGTCGTTTCAAAACCACTCGCGTCCCGTGTTGCCAACAGAGGGGGAAAGCGACAAAACCTGCACCTTAGCTTCTTAACTGTGAGGATCGAAGGTTATTCGTATACATTTTTACCTTCACAAGCCCCTTTAGGAAGACTCTGCAGAGAGATTAAAGCGCCCCCCCTCTCCGTCGGGAAAACGAATGTCATACACGTTGTTCTTGGATGGCGTTCAGACACAGGGAGCGCCTTCCACTCGCCGCCATCACTCATCACGCGGCGGCGGGATCTGGCAGCCGTGAACAATCCAAATGCAAGCGGGTTGACGGGTCTTATCCCTGCAGCCCATTTAGCAAACAAAGCCTGGGTGCATTCTGCGCCTCGGCCCAGGCAGAGAAAGCAGTCGTGTCGTCCTGCGTGCAGAGTCCAACCCCAACACTAACGAGGTCACACTTTCCAGACAACAATAACACACTCAATATTGAGACAATAGAGAGAAAGTTTCGATGACATGAGTTCTGGATTTAATCCCATGATGCAAGTGGTTTTCAATTTAAAGTGTTTATTACAACATTACTCTACGATAGCATGGCTGTCCAACCTTTGGCTTTCACAGGTTACCTTAGTCACAACCACAATGCACCACTGACAGGAATGTCCCTGTCGGCTCGATGATTTCGACCAGTGGCGGCTGGAAAATGTTCCAGGCAATCTAATCAATTTCGGCAAACAAATGCAAAACAATTGAGGTATCAAACACATTAGTTTGCAGTCTAATATTTATTCCAACATGAAAAACAACACTTTGACAATCTTATTTTTGTCACCCTTACAGGCGATTCAGTATAATAGAAAATATGCACACACACACACACACACACACACACACACACACACACACACACACACACACACACACACTTAATCATTTATGAACAAGACGCATGATGCAACACATGTTTGAGACAAAAGTATTCAGACTAAAAGCTTTAGAAGTAAAAAGCTTTAAATACTGTTGAGTAGTTTGAAATTATGCTGCATGTGACATGTTCTTTTAGCTCATCATACTATGTTGTCTTTAATGCAAAATCTCAAATAAGATTTGTATTCAGTCAAATAACTAATAAATACAATATATTTCTCATATTTTGTAGAGTAGGTGCGTAAAGGCATTTTATGGAAATATTAAAGTACAAGGTAGGTCAACACTAATTGCACAACATGGGTTTGGACAACTATCTCGCTTCTTTACAAAAATAATAAGGGGTAATTATGAATGGCTGATATGATGGAGGGGAGTAAATTGTACTTAATGTGCTTGAGTGATTGATTCCAGCCCTTTTAACACACAGCCGTGGTTTATCAGGTCACCTTTATCAAAACGACTGCTGCTTATTTGCCTCTTTCACGCTTATCTTCCAACTCATCCCGGCCTTTACGTCACGAGCGAGCCGCGGCTTTATCCCGTTCTCAGCTCCTCCGCCGCCGCCGCTCTGCCAGACGCCTCCATGTACTGTGCATCCGGAACACAGCGCTTCACTTTTTCCACATTTTGTTATGTTACAACCTTATTCCAAAATGGATTAAATTCATTATATTCCTCAAAATTCAACCCGTAACGACAAAGTGAAAACTTTTTTTTGCAAATCTGTTAAAAATAAAGAACGAAAACATAACATGTACATAAGTATTCACAGCCTTTGCTCAATACTTTGTTGAAGCACCTTTGGCAGCAATTACAGCCTCAAGTCTTCTTGGGTGTGATTCCACAAGGGTGGCACTATTTCTGGGCAGTTTCTCCCATTCTTCTTTGCAGAACCTCTCAAGTTCCATCAGGTTGGATGGGGAGCGTCTGTGCACAGCCATTTTCAGATCTCTCCAGAGATGTTCAATAGGGTTCAGGGCTCTGGCTGGGCCACTCAAGGACATTCACAGAGTTGTCCCAAAGCCACTCCTTTGTTCTCTTGGCTGTGTGCTTCGGGTCGTTGTCCTGTTGGAAGATGAACCGTCGCCTCAGTCTGAGGTCCAGAGCGTTGGAGCATGTTTTCATCGAGGATGTCTCTCTGTACATTGCTGCATTCATCTTTCCCTCATCCTGACTCGTCTCCCAGTTCCTCCCGCTGAAAAACATCCCCACAGCATGATGCTGCCACCACCATGCTTCACTGTAGGGATGGTGTTGGCCAGGTGATGAGCAGCGCCTGGTCTCCTCCAGACATGACGCTTGGCATTCAGGCCAAAGAGTTCAATCTTTGTTTCATCAGACCAGAGAATTTAGTTTCTCATGGTCTGAGAGTCCTCCAGGGGGGCTGTCATGTGCTTTTTACTGAGGAGTGGCTTCCGTCTGGCCACCAAACAGGCCTGATTTGTGGAGTGCTGCAGAGATGGTTGTCCTTCTGGAAGGTTCTCCTCTCTTCATAGAACAACGCTGGAGCTCTGTCAGAGTGACCATCGGGTTCCTGGTCACCTCCCTGACTAAGGCCCTTCTCCCCTGATCGCTCAGTCTGGCTGGGCGACCAACTCTAGGAAGAGTCCTGGTGGTTCCAAACTTCTTCCATTTCCGGATGATGGAGGCCACTGTGCTCATTGGGACTTTCAATGCTGCAGAAATCTTTCTGTACCCTTCGACAAATCTGTGCCTCGATACAATTCTGTCTCGGAGGTCTACAGATAATTCCTTGGACTTTATGGTTTGGTTTATGCTGATATTCACTGTCAACTGTGATATCTTATACAGACAGGTGTGTGCCTTTCTCAATCATGTCCAATCAACTGAATTTACAGGTGGACTCCAATCAAGTTGTAGAAACATCTCAAGGATGATCAGTGGAAACAGGAGGCACTTGAGCTAAACTTTGAGTGTCATGGCAAAGGCTGTGAATACTTATGTACCCGTTATGTTTTCGTTCTTTATTTTTAACAGATTTGCAAAAATTTCCCAAAAACAGTTTTCACTTTGTCATTATGGTTTGTTGTGTGTAGAATGTTGAGGAAAATAATGAATTTAATCCATTTTGGAATAAGGCTGTAACATGTGTAAAATGTGGAAAAAGTGAAGCGCTGTGAATACTTTCCGGATGCACTGTACCTGCACAATGCAGACGGAGCCCGGGACCAAACACAATGGCACTTACCCTCCGAGCTATGCAGCATCTACGCAAGGAACTCCCCTGTGACATTAGACTGAGGCCTAACTCGTTAGCGCATTGACTGGCGCGAGGGCCGACATAATACTCCGTACGCAGCGAGGAATCTCCTCCACTCGACAGGAATTCTCCGGCTCAGCGGCCCGAACAATAGGGCCGCGAGAGGAACGTCTGGGCGAGGCGGGCTTCTGACGTTCCATCGACACCCGACTCTACCGCCGCACGCCCTGTTATTCAACCAACACTCCCAGTTGCGCCAACGCGTGTCACGAAACCAGTGGGGGATTAAATCAGGTGGAGTCAGGACCCGGGACCCAGCTGGAGGGTTGAGCTCTATAGGATATTGGCCTTTTATGCCGTGCTTTGTAAGAGCTAAAAAGAAAAGGTAAAGACCATTAACTTGAGAGAGTCCTTTGTGGTTGAATTTGACTTGTCATCACGTTTGGGGCGAGAGGGGAGGACACACTTCTCAGAGCTGATTATGGGAACCTGCAGGTATCTCTCAGCACTCTGTCTGCCCGTAATCCTTCAGTCCCACCCAGTAACTCCCCGCCCGCCTGCCAGCAGAACAACACATACTGAAAAGCATTACGAGACTTTTCCACAGAGATGTTTAAAATAGATGTCGTGATGAGTCGTGTTTGCGGTTATATGGTTGGCTCTTCCCTGGCTTTATTAATTCATTTATTTATTAACTTTATTGTAGTGTGAAGTAAAAGGAGTGTTGGGAGAGCAGGTGGAGGAGTCCCACGTTGCCCGTATGCACATCCCGTGGGGAATGTTCAGAATGCAAGGAATTATACACAGATTTTCAGGAACAAGTTACAGTCTGAACTCTGTGGTCCAAAATTAACTTGGTCGAGTGCATTCACGCTACATAACTATAGGCAGGTTTCTTGCTCTTCTGAGTTTGTATCCCTATGGTTGAAATGCACTTATTGCAAGTCGCTTTGGTTAAAAGCGTCAGCTAAATGACATGTAATGTAATACACACAGACAATAATACCTGCATCGGGAAATATGCATTTATTTGGCACGTAATTATTTGCATTTTTGTACCGAACTGGTGTTGTGCCGACCTCTTCCTCTGAAAATGATTCTGCTGATCTCTTTTAGCCCCACAGTGAAATACCTTTTTTAATATTTTACATTTTTAACTTTATTCTCTTGTTTTATACTAACCCATAGCCTTATTCTACTAACCCATAGCCTTATTCTACTAACCCATAGCCTTAGCCTTATTCTACTAACCCATAGCCTTAGCCTTATTCTACTAACCCATTGCATTAGCATTTCATTTTACTTTGTTTTATTACTTGTGCACTGCTGTCTTGTTGTCTCTTGTTACACTGTCTAATGTTGCGCACCAACCGCCAAGACAAACTCCTTGTATGTTTGACATATTTTGGCAATAAATGTTTCCTGATTCCTGATTCAAAATC